TTTTGAATCTATTGCTTTCAGTAGCGTAGAATTCCGTTGTTCGAATTCCACCGATAAAAGTGTTTTGTTGAGCATTATTTGTGTAGTTTTTACCGTTTGGCAATCGCGTGCCTGACGTCAACATGACGTGCAATATCGCACGCGCCTGACCTACTCATGGCCTACTATCCCTTGCGCAGGCCTACTTTTCTTGTTCATATCAAGCCCAAAGGAAAAGACACCCTGGCCAAGTTTGCAATGCTGACCAAATTTCGCATTCTAAGGAAATTCCAAAACCTTGCACTATTGATTGCGATTAATCAGCATTTGAGAGACCAAAGAAATATTTTTTTATATATCGCTAGCATTTTTCTACAACATCAGCTGTTGCAAAATGAGATACAACTACCTGAAAGTCAGGTACAATGCTTGTATCGCCCTCAATTCATAGCTGTCCTTTACTTCAAGAGCATGACAAAGTGTGGAAACACTGAATTACTTACAGCTTCCCCCTTCTGTCCTGGAAGACCAGCTGGACCTGGTTGACCATCTTTACCCTAAAAATTACAATATATTATTAACACACAGGCATATATTTTACTTTGACATGATTTGACATAGAAGACATGCAGTGCAAAAAGAATCAGGGCAATCACAAGATAATATCATGAAATTAATTCAGGTGTAATTAATTCATAATTTATTGTACTGTATGTATAGTATCATTATTATTATTATTATTATTATTATTATATTTTTTTAAACTTTAACTGACCATATCAACAAACATTTAGACAATTTTTAAAATGATTTTATATATTGAAATTATGAATAAAATTATTATAAAAAATTACTATTACTATTATTATTATTATTATTATTATTAGTATTATAAAAAATTATTATTATTATTATTATTATTATTATTATTATTATTATTATTATTATTATTATTAGGTGTACGGTACCACTTTGCACTTCAATGCACTATACCGTGGACAGTTAAAAACTAGATAGAAAACTAGCTGACGCCAGAGACGCAAAACGTTTGAGATTCGTGATGTCATGAATAATTGCGCATATGCAGAAGTTTCAAGTTTCTCGGCATTTTCTTCAATTTCTCTATATTTTCCGGATGTATATTGAAACTTAAAGTGATGTTATTGTCTTACAAGTAAGTACCTGCCGTTTTCGCGACAATGTATTTGTGGTAGATATTTTTCATCTTTGTTTTGGTGTTTTACTTAGTATTTGTGACGCATATTTCACAGTAATTTTGTGCTTTAAAATAAATATTAAATATTTTCTTAAAATAAGAAATTGATTTTTTGCAGTATACATATTATTTAGTTTAGTTTTGGTTTCTTATTTTATCTTGCTAATTAAAAGTCTTTATTATAGGGCTTGCAGATATTGTTATTGTTTCAAAATTATTTGTGTCTGTTTTATAAGTAAATTGAATTATAGAAGGTTTTGCTGTGGGTGCCTGAGAGTACTCAACATGCAGACTTTGGTATCTGGCCAGTCTGTGAGTTCTATATCCTGAGAGTTCCTGCGCAGTGTGGTTCATTACCGTTTGTGCGTTCTGTATTATTACTTTGGTGTGGTTTCTTAGTTTATCATTTGTATTTAGATTTGGTGTGTTGTACAGGAAGCAAGAACGGCAATGTCGATGCAACTATCGTCGCAGCTATGTTTAAAGTGAAGTTACAGGGTTCGAAATATTAAAAGGTATCACCATCAGGCCGTCACGGATGTCGCGTCAGCAACAGTAGAGAGGTTTAACAAAGACAACGCGACGTCAAAGACGACGTGAAAATGGCGCAAAATTGGCGTGTGCATATCCACAGATGGGCATATCGTACGTCGTGTATCAGCACGTATATCGGCACGTCGTCTTTAACGTCGCGTCGTCTTTGCTGAACCTCTCTATTGGCGCTTTAGCTTGTGTTTCCAGTCCACTTGTTTGATTGTCCATATGATTTTACATAGCGAAGTGTTTATAAATTTCAAATACTAGCCTATAGTATAACAATAGCAATGCAATTTGGGAAACTGTTGGAAAATATTTACCGTGTGACGTAAGTATTTCTATTAAGGAATATTATTTCTCTGCGTACTATGCATATGAGGAGTATATATAACGCAGCACTTCGCTACCTTTTGGTATCATATGGTATAATAATAATACTGGCTCATTTGATTGGTAGTTCATCCACAGGGTGTCTCTTCGCCTACTATTTATACGAATGTATAAATACAATATATAAAAATAATTACCATAGGACTATGAATATAAGTGTTCAGAATGGAATAATACTCAAACTATAAAAGTATGGATATATAAATTATGCACATGCTAAAAGATATATATCCTAATTACAACTAAGAATACTCAGTCACTAAGAGTTTCTCTCTGCTAAGTAAATCTTAGCTCCGCTCAAGAAGTCTCAGAACTGTTCATAATTACTGCAATTTCTACGTTCAGTTACAGGTAATTTATTGCCAGAAAACCCACTGTATATATATATATATATATATATATATATATATATATATATATATATATATATATATATATATATATATATATATATATATATATATATATATATGGCAATTAATTCAGTTTTTGTTAACACAAACTGAATTAATTGCCTGAAGATCGTCTTGAATAAGGCGTGAAACTTGAGTAGCAATAATTAATTTTAAGATATAAATATATCATGCTCTACTTTTGTATTAGTGTTGAGCACTTTATTATCTACTACAACAAAACAAATTATATATATATATATATATATATATATATATGTATATATATATATATATATATATATATATATATATATATATATATATATATATATATATATATATATATATATATATATATATATATATATATATATATATATATATATACCAAATATGTATTTAGAATCATATATGAGTAGAGTGCTCGATATACCGAAGTATAGAGCTAATATAGATAAAGATAAAATAAACCTGGTTTACTTCATAAGATTTATTCACTACAAACTTGTTTCGTATGACAAGCAATGCTTGCCACACTCTTCAGGTGAATTTAAATGTTCGCGCTAACATGATAGCGCGACATTTAAATTCACCTGAAGAGTGTGGCAAGCATTGCTTGTCATACGAAACAAGTTTGTAGTGAATAAATCTTATGAAGTAAACCAGGTTTATTTTATCTTTATCTATATATATATATATATATATATATATATATATATATATATATATATATATATATATATATATATATATATATATATATATATATATATATATATATTTATATATTTATATATTTTTCCTGTACGTCCTATAAGTAGCTGACAATAAACATGCAATTGTACCTGAAACGTTGAGTTACAGTTTAGTAGGACTGGAAACTAAATCGGATTTTGAACGATGTGAATTAAGCGGAAAACACCACGAGTTGTTGATGTGTTTTTAAAATGAAATAAGGACAAATATAAGGACAAAATACGTTGAAAATATTACATTATTTATAGTTTAAAGTGACGGTGAATGGTTGTGGGACAATTGGGTTATTATTATTCAGGATTGTGCAACTTGTAAGTTTATATTGGAATGGAGTATCTCTTATACACACTGGTATTTGTTTATATTGATAACTATATTATTATACGTAATATATGTAATTGATATCTCTTTAATAGGATTTGAATAAAGTTTAACTTTCATACGAATCGGCAAATATCCATACAAGAGAATAAACAAAAGGTTCCTAAACGCTACAGGTTGTTTCACCATTCAAATCAAGGAGAATTATAATATTTATTAAGATTTCAGTCTGTAGAGGAACATATGGTAACAATTGTCAAGCCTAAAAATATATTCATCGTCATTTGTTTATTGGTAATAATGAATGAAGCGAAAAAGGCAAGAACTATTGCTAAATCATCATTTACCCGTAGTGCTAAATCCATCCAACGGCTAATCGAACAAGGACGGCCCGAACCGGAAGTTGTCAAAGCAGGTGGCATATTTGAAACAGCCTATGAGAGAGTACTATCTAAGCATGAAGGATTTGCAATACTTGTAGAAGAAAAGGATTATGAACAGGAAGAAGAATGGATGGAAGATGTGTCAAAAGAATATGATGCTATTTGTATAATGATAAATGATTATAAAATAACCATGGCTCCGAAGAACAATATTACAACCGATAAAGTGGAAAATCCAGCCAGCTCTCAGGATGTCGATGTGGACCCAAACAACACAAATATACCATCTGGATCAGGCATTGATGAGACTGCAGAATCTGTACCACCAGGGGAGACGGAACCCACTGTTACATTGGAATTATCACCTGACAACCAAGCTGCCGCAACTAATTTTTCCACTTATGCTGCACCCTCACCCAGTCCAACTTCCATGAAATTGAGAACAGAGAGAGCACCGCTTCCTAAATTTGATGGAAATGTTCGAAATTATCTGGATTTTCGTAGAGATTTCAAATTTTTGGTGGAAAAGCAATACACAACTCAGGAAGCCCTTTATGTTCTTCGTAGCTGCCTGGACAAAAGCAGTGCCGACCTGATAAAATGCAAGGAGGACTACGATGCTGCATGGGAAAAATTAGACCGAGAGTATGGCGACCCGAGAATTGTTTCTGATGTCCTGCTGTCTGACTTGGAGAAAGTAAAGCCAGTGGATGAATTTGACTATGCACACTTTGTTCAGTATCATGCTTTAATTGAGAAGATATTCAGCATGCTGACGAAACTGAATCGACCCGGAGATTTGGATAATACAACAACACTGAGTGCCATGGAGAAAAAATTATCAAGGAATGACCGTCTAAAGTGGGCAGATTACCAAGAAGAGAAGGGGGTAACTCCAAAAATTGAAAACTTTCTAAAATGGATGGAGAAGGAAGTACGAAAGAGAAAGATTGCTGGAGCCGACATTCGTTCCCAGAGAACAATTTCTCGAAGTGCTGACAACAAAGGCTCAGTAAATACCATCACATTGAAAGGTGAGAAGGGTACCAGCACGGGTACCAGCACGGACAAACTCGATTCAAGGACTGAGAATCCAGGTGAAGTATTAGGTGAGGGCAACCAATCACCAACACAACCACCACCACCACCACCACCACCAACGTTTCAGCATTGTTGGTTATGCAAACAGCCCCACCAGTTGGACACATGCCAACGGTTTCTGAGTATGACCCCTACTGTTCGTCTCACAGAGGTGAGGAAAGCTCATGCATGTTACTTTTGTTTAAAAATTCAACGCAACCCATGTAGAAGAAAGAAAAAGTGCACGTTGCTAAGAGACGGTGAAGCATGCAAGTTCAGTCATCACCCCTTGCTCCATGGAGCGCCATTTGAGCGAATGTCCAATAACAATGTAGCTGTCATTGCGGGAGGAGAAAGCCTGCTCCCAACCTTGGAAGTCAGTGCAATAAATTCTATATCCAAACAGAAAGCTAAAGCAAATATCCTGTTTGATGGAGGATCTCAATTAACTTTAATCAGAGAACAATTTGCCCAAAACCTAGGATTGCATGGTGAGAGCATTGGCATCCGTATAAGTAAAGTTGGGGGGACCAAAGAGTTGCTGCAAACTAAGATCTACACTCTCCAGATTCGTTCCCTTGATGGTGGCCCGAAATTCGCGTTGAAAGCTGTAGCTATCCCTCTGATAAGTGAAAACGTCAGGGCGGTTCGTATTGAGAAGTATGCAAAGTTGTTCAAGATTGACGCCAAGCGACTTCACCGGGGTTCTGGAGCAGTAGACATCCTCATCGGCATCGACCATGCTCGACTCCACGGGGGCAACACGCTAGTCAATGGAAATTTTGCTGTGCGGCAATCCCCTCTTGGGGCGGTAGTTTTTGAAGCCGGTCCGGATGGTTTATGTTCAGTAAACCGCATCCATCTTGTTCGACTTAATGACCCAGTTGATCTAACTTCTTTCTGGTCCACTGAGCAAATGGGAGTAGAAGTGAACCCTTGCTACACCAAGAGAACACCAGGGGAGAAACTGCTTAGCTCTATCGAGAAGGAAGAGGCGAAGATTATTCGCGACAGTGCTGTAAAGGTCGGACAACAATGGATGATCCCTATACCATGGGCAAAGGATCCAAATGAACTTCCGGACAACTATAGACAAGCTTTGGCTAAATTGAAAAGTATTGAAAAGCGGCTCTTAAAGAACAAGGAAAATGCAAAAATGTATGATGATCAAATATTGGAAATGGAAAACATGGCCACGCAAAGAAGCTCACGCAAAGGGACATAGAACAACATAAAGGTCCAGTGCATTACATCAGCCATCACGCCGTTATCTATCCCTATCACAGAATAGGGCCTGACACAAAACCTATCTAAAGTGTGGGATTCCCGTCCACCTGGTGGACGGGAAATCTGATTGGTTGATCAGCGTCATGAAGGATTTTGATTGGTTGCAAATTCACATAAACAACAGTTTTAAAAATAGCTCGGTCAAGGCGACAATTAATATAAAGGTCAAACGCACGTACAGATTCTATTATCGATTTCTTCGAATTTCTTTTTCTTTTATGATTTATGGCAGAAAATAAATCAAACAAACAGTATTTTAAAAGGGCTTTATCAAAATCTTGGACGAATTTTGGACACACGACGCCGGAAGAACAGCCAAACTAAGTCATGTGTTCGAAAGCTTGTTGTTGACAGGATGTTCTGCCAAATTGCTTCGCCGGCAAAAGTCTTATTTCTAAAATCAGGTCCTACCGGCGTTGTTTTCTGAGCTACATCGCCTTCTTCGTGGTATGATTGAGAATTTAATTGTTGCTGTTATTAGCCCGTTAGTCGTTAGAGTATATCCGCGTCCAGCAAGTTGAGACCTTGAGAAAGCTTGGCAGTCAAGCCGTGCACAGAACTGACTAATTAAATCTTTGTTTGCTGTTCGCCTGTTCGGTTAAATAGAGAGACTGACTCTTAATTATATAAAAGTACCTTGAATTTTTAAGTTTAATTAAAAAGCAAAATGCTCTGCGGACATGTTCATGAGAATATATTTTTTTTGTGTAACGAAATCCCTATATCTATTCTGTGAACGAAATCTACAACACTTGTCAATCATATTGCACGTGTGTCTAAAAATAACATGTGGGCGTCCCACGGTCTAGACAGGTTTTTTGTCAGGCCCTATTTCAAATTAGGGCCTGAACTTCAGGTTAGCCGTTATCAAACTAGAAAAGAAGTCCACTCCTTGTCGCGTTGTCTTTAATGCTGCCGCGAAATACCATGGTCATGTTCTCAATGAATACATGCTCAAAGGGCCAGATCTCCTCAATGATTTAGTTGGAGTCCTCTTAAGATTTCGGGAAAATTATGTTGCAATCTTGGGGGATGTCTCAAAAATGTACCATCAAGTTCTTGTTGATCCTGTTGTAGATGCACATTCCCATCGGTTCCTCTGGCGAAGTTTTGAAAACCGTGAACCAGACATTTATGTTAAAACAGTTCTCACGTTCGGTGATAAGCCTGCTCCACCCATGGCAAATACAGCAATGGATCTCACAGCTGAAGAGAACGCTGAAAATTACCCAGACGCAGCAACAACCATCAAAGAGTGTCGATACATGGATGACATTGCCGACTCAGTTACCTCGATTGGTGAAGCTGTTAAACGTACGAATGAGATTGATCACGTTCTCAGTACAGGACACTTCAAAATCAAAGAATGGATTTCTAATGCAGATTTATCAGAATGTCGTCCAGTGGACCACATTGCAGTGCACAAAGTACCAGTGAGATCGAAAAAAAAACACTCCTGAAGGAACCACTAGTATTATATCAGGAGAGAAAGCCCTGGGAGTGGCCTGGAATCGAGAGTTGGATTTGTTGTCTGTATCAGTAAACAACCCCAAAGTTCTTATGGCCTGTAAAGTTGATGGTGTAGAGTGGACAAGGCCAATTAAACTGACAAAGCGGATGGTGTTGAGCATAATCTCTGGGATATTCGATGTATTTGGATTTGCAGCCCCTTTGATTATTCGTGCCAAGATTGGTATTCAAGAGCTGTGGAAGGGAGGATATGAGTGGGATCAAGATCTACCCCAACAAGTGAAAGACAACTGGTACAAATGGTTTGACGATTTATCAAAGCTTAAAGATGTTACCTTTCAACGATGCTTGACCCCAGAAGATGTGTTGGGAAAGCCAATCCTAATAATTTTCAGTGATACTTCAGAAAAGGCATTTGGAGCGGTGGCCTACATAAGGTGGAGATTGATGGATGGTTCCTTTGCAGTTAGGTTCATCATGGCAAAGTCGCGAGTCGCTCCAGTGAAGGAATTAACAATGCCAAAACTTGAACTGCAAGCAGCAGTAATCGCTTGCAGACTCAATCATACTATCCGAAGTGAATGCCGCTTGGAGTTTCAGAAGACAATATTTTTCTGTGATTCCATGATTGTTTTAGCTTGGATTCAAAATGAAACACGTTCCTTCAAAGTCTTTGTCTCCGTTCGTGTTGCCGAAATCAAGGTTAAATCAGACCCAGCAGATTGGCGTTATTGTTCAACTGATTTAAATGTTGCAGACGATGTAACCCGAGGTTTGTGTGTCGAAAATCTGTCCGGTCGCTGGAAACACGGAGAAGCCTTTCTTCTTCAGCAAGAAGATCAGTGGACATCAATGCAACTGAGTCAGGACAATGATGCAAATGACATGCTTATCGAATGCCGTAAAGTCAATGTTGTTGTTAATTTACCAGCCTGCTGTCCCCTGATGCAGTTTACCAAGCGATTCTCCAAGTACAGGCGGGCAGTTCGAGTCCTGGCGGTAATCCGGAGGTTTATCCACAACTGCAAAGAAAGGA